TTTTTTACCCCCCCCCCCCCCAATCAAAAAATGCCGCCGCGGTAAGGGCTATAATATAGGTTCACTCCTGGTCACCCCTGGTCATCGTATGGCTCACCCCTGGTCGTCATATGACGTCGTTCAGCTTTAGATTGGAATATCAATACTTATAGTAACAGTTGCAACCAGTCATAATTATCAATTTGCAGTATATAACTATATATCCTGGAGGGGGTGCTCCCTTCTTCATCCACCCTGATTTCTGCAACTAAATGTCATTGCCAAGAACACCAGGTAAGCAATTTATATCCCCCTTCCCCTATCCCATACTATATTGTCTTATAATCAACAACAACCATATGTCATAATGGGATCTTATTTATAGCACACAATGTACAAAACTAACATAATATCCTGTTTACTGGATTTTCTTCCACGACAAAAAATTATTGTATGGATCTGGTATGCTGAATTATATCATTCTATTCAAGAACTATATGCATCACTTATACTTCTAATTTCTATACTTGCCATCATTTGTTACTGATGAATGACTTTCAATATATGACCTATTTTATATATTTACTAGGCATAAACAGTTAATTTGTGTGCCATCAACCCTGACTATGACATTTTCTAAAATGAAATAGATCAATTATAAACAGCAGAAATGTTGATGTTATGTATCAATATTATGGTATAAAAAGGCTTTCAAGACTTTCAAAACTCTGCAAGTGTATATATTGGCACCACCTGTTATCCTGACAACTTCTATGCATCTACAATGTTCTCGCATGCCTGCTAAAGTTTATTATGAACTATCAAGAAGATTTGGAATCCGAAATGTTTTAACAAGAACACAGGGATGGATTTACTAGCGGGTGCGGGGGGGGAGGGGGGGGGGCTATTTTTCATGATAAAGCAATGGCAATAGCAATAGCAATAGCATTAATAGCAATAGCATTAGCACTAATAACAACAGCAATAGCAATAGTTATAGCAAGCGCAATAGCAATAGCAATAGCTATAGCCAGCGCAATAGCAATAGCAACAGCAATAGCAACAGCAATAACATTAGCAATAGCAATAGCAATAGCAATAGTTATAGCAAACGCAATAGCAATAGCAATAGTTATAGCAAGCGCAATAGCAACAGCAATAGTTATAGCAATAGCAATAGCAATAGCAATAGTTATAGCAAGTGCAATAGCAATAGCAACAGCAATAGTTATGGCAATAGCAATAGCAATAGCAATAGCAATAGTTATAGCAAGGGCAATAGCAATAGCAATGGCAATTGCACTAATAGCAATAGCAATAGCACTAATAGCAAGCGCAATAGCAACGGCAACAGCAACAGCAATAGTAACAGCAACAGCAGCGGCAATAACAATAGCAATAGCAATAGCAAATAAGCAATAGCAATAGTAATACTCCAATCATCGATCAAAGTTATTCCGATCTTTTATATATCTAGCAGATATATTCGAAACATGGTTTGCGATGAGTAGGATATTTGTCTTACAACTACGAACTGTTTTCATCATTTTTCCTTTTCCATACAAACTTTCCTAAAAAACACTCAGAAAAAAAGATTAATAGCAATTAAATCAAAGAGTTTTTCAAGTATTTAACACACTTCAAACTCTACATTTAGTTCTTCTATAATTATCTAGATTATAAAGGCTGGCTGCATTACCACTTTCTATACCATTTAGAATATAAGAACGCAACTGCTATGTGTTTTAGGCAATAATTTATTGAATTTATTGAATTCAAAAATCTTACCCAAGATGACGCGCAATAAAGTTCAAAATATTTTGAAGTTGATTGCCGCGTCTTTGCGAGATTTTGAATAAATTCACCATAAAAATTTGAACGCTTCAGTTGGATATGCTTCAAATTTTACGGTATATTCAGTACTTAAAATTCATCGTTCTTAGCTAGTTTATGTCTAAATCGAACAATTGGCGGATAAATACCAACTGCATGATACGTCAATGTCGCAAGTATAACCCTTTACCTGAACAATGGTATCCATCTCCAGAGTAGCCAACGTTACAGGTACATCTATATGAACCAAGTGTATCATCACAGGTTGCATTTCGACTGCAGGGATCTGATAAACACTCTTTGATATCTAAAAAATAACAGTTTATTTTCTATTTATGCAAATATAGGCAACATAATTCCTTAAGAAGGATCTTCATTGGGAAATCAAGAACAGCAAAAATGCACAGGTAGTATGCAGAATAGGCGTTCTGGGGCAGGTGATGCGGGTGCGGCACCTAGCACCACCGATGGAGTCAATATGGTCGTATTTCAGGTTAATTATTTTTATCTCAACTTGAGGAGCGTTTGATGACTTTAGACTGGACAAAAAAAGGTGTGATGCGCGTACACCCCGTATACATTAATCTATAATGTGTTAAAAATAAAAATGGAATTGGAAAGTTTATGCAAACAAGAGCTGAAAAAACTAAAGTAAATAAATGTTTTCTGCATTCCTAAGCAACTTGATGGTATGAAGACATTGTTGGATTATTTTCTGTATATCCGATAAAAAAAGGGCTTTAAAGATTCATCATGAGCGGAATAAAAATTTAAAAGGAATCGAACTGATCGAATGTGGGCATATTCCAAACACAAAAAAATTGGTATGAAATGTGATATTTTACTTCCTAAATGCGAAGGTAGGATAAACATTTTCACAGTAACAATATTCTGACATTACTTGACTACTATTTTTCAATAATCGTATAGCCCGAAATTGACCATGCATGCATGTATTTAAAACAACTACATAAATGTTATTGGTTCAAGTGAGGCCAAAATCTGCTGTTAAAAGTAAAGTAAAGTTAGCGGGAAATTTTATTTTAAAACTACTAAAAATATAAAAAGTTTAAAAACGTCTTAGCTTTCGTCGTCTA